CGCACACTTATATAATATAATATATATATATATATATTATATACCCTCCTCGTCCGTTTGTTGCTGCTGCTGTTGATGTAATATGCCCTTCTTGTGGGGTACGTTGGGAACCTTTTCACGCGGGAGAGCTAGGGGAAACAGAGAGAAGGGCGAGCACAGAGAAAGAAAAGGGGGTGGTGAAGATATGAGCGAGGCGACCTTCGTAGCAGACCAGCGGCGACCTGTAGAAGACTTCATCGCTTTGACAGGTCTTAAGCCGAAATATGCGAATGGATGTTTTGAACGCTTTGGTGGCTATGCGCCGGCGTTGGCTTCGTTTGCTCAATCCTATGCGAAGTTACCAAACGAATACTTTGATGATGTCGGCAAGGTGGAACAAAACGCTGAGCTAATTAACGCTGAGCTGAGGCGTATTTACAGGCGGGCAAGAAATATAAAGCATCAGTCTGGTGATGAAGACGTAGGAGTCTGGGCCGCCTACTACGCAGACCCCGCCTCATCAATGACACCCCGGTCCACTATCTTGTCTCCCAAGCGCTTGAGAAAAGTAAGCTACTGTGAGCCTTTGCACTTCACCGGACCCTTTCTTGACATGCCTATGTTTTGGGAAGCTGAGATGAAGGGGCAGAGTGTTTTATTCGGCCTCGATAAGAGGGTTATTGAGTGCAATAAAGTTAGTTTGCGCAAAACGTTGGAACATTGGGTAACTGCGGCGGTGGCGCGTCGAGACCCTGTTCGGTACGTTGAGGTGCGGAATTTGGACGAGAAGACGGTTCGTCTAATTACCAGAGACGCGAATAACACGTTTTTGCATCCCGATCACCGCAAAAAATTTGTTGCCTTCCTTGCAGCCATGTATAATGAGTTTGAGGTATATGGACCGACCATGAGTTTCCTCGCTGGGGTCTGTATGTTAGTTCTCAGTGAAGAGGAGACTGCCACAGTGCTTCGTTTGGTTTTGAATGTAAGAATTCCTCCCCATTGGCCAATGGAAGTTGCCTGTTTTACAACCGCTTCTGCACTTGTAGAGAGTTTCCTGCAGGCACCCTCTTCCTCGGAAAAAAAGCAGTTTGACTTGGGAGAGCATGCCAACCTGTATTCTCGCATGCAGACGATTATAAAAGTTCTTTGTGAGACGATGGTAAACGTGAAGGAGCTATTTTGTTTTTTTGAACTAGTTATTAACGGGAACCGGGTTCTTTCTTTCTCTGAGAATCAAGTAAAGTAGTCGTCCTTTTTTTTTTTGGTGGGGGAGGGTGAGGGTGCTATATTGTTCTTCTGTTGCTTGCCGCGTATGTTTTTTTTTTGCTTTGTTGTGTGGAAACGCGGTGCATTCAGTCTAAACTATCATGTGTATATGTATTTGGAGATGAGCTGAACGTGATTGATTTGATCGTGTTTTTGTTGATGCGGATGTGTGTGTGTGGAAAATACATGCATGCCACAGCCCTCCGTTCAGCACCCCCCAAGCACCCCCAGTCCATACGCACACTTATATAATATAATATATATATATATATATATATATACCCTCCTCGTCCGTTTGTTGCTGCTGCTGTTGATGTAATATGCCCTTCTTGTGGGGTACGTTGGGAACCTTTTCACGCGGAAGAGCTAGGGGAAACAGAGAGAAGGGCGAGCACAGAGAAAGAAAAGGGGGTGGTGAAGATATGAGCGAGGCGACCTTCGTAGCAGACCAGCGGCGACCTGTAGAAGACTTCATCGCTTTGACAGGTCTTAAGCCGAAATATGCGAATGGATGTTTCGAACGCTTTGGTGGCTATGCGCCGGCGTTGGCTTCGTTTGCTCAATCCTATGCGAAGTTACCAAACGAATACTTTGATGATGTCGGCAAGGTGGAACAAAACGCTGAGCTAATTAACGCTGAGCTGAGGCGTATTTACAGGCGGGCAAGAAATATAAAGCATCAGTCTGGTGATGAAGACGTAGG